AGGCAAATATAATTGCTAGTGCCACTTTTAATATCTGGCTGTAATTTTTCTCTTCTGGTGGAAGCGAGCGTAAAGCGTGAGCAAAGGCTTTTTTTACCGCCATCGTGTTTGCGTAAAATTACCGCTCCAATACCGTACTCACTAGCATCTGACGCCGCTACAATTTCTGCTTTTGGATCATAATGTGCTAAGGAATATCTGATGCAAGTCTTTTTTTTTTTATTTCGTCAAACGCATTTTGACAATTATCATTCCAGTTCCACTTTTTTAAGTAAGATCGTTCGGTGGAGCTCTTAACTTATGCATATTATGTCCATATATTTGATAGGAAGTAGCCAGCCTTAGAAAAGCTTGTAACATAGTTACGTTTGTTGGTGGAGGCATATTTTTAAATGCATTTATCCTCGACGAATCTGGCTGTTCACATTTTTCTTCACTAACCTTGAATCTGTACTCTCTTAGATTTTAACAAAATTGTTTTCTCATGCCCCACATGTTGTTCTTTAAAATATTGTAGATGGAGAGTTTTTACATCCTTTGTGTCCCAAAAAGAAAACACTTGTACGAACACGAGAAAAAAAAATCTCAATCGCAGTACCTTGTCAGTCGTCTTTAATGAAACACACACACACACGGGCGCACACACACACACACACACACACACACATATATATATATATATATATATATATATATATATATATATATATATATATATGAATAAAGACAAAAGGAAAACCTATCTTAATCGACGAGTTTCGCCCTCTGAGGGACTTTATTAAAAGGCAAATGCGTTGTCTAAGATTTTAGATTTTTCCATTTTGTCTTTATTTATATTGTCATTTTGCAGATATATTCTAATGAAATTTTACACACACACACACACATACGCGCACATATATATATATATATATATATATATATATATATATATATATATATATATATATATATATATATATAAACGTTTCTATTCAAAACAACACAAAAATAAAATATAACTTAATCAAAACATGAGGAAAAACTAACGACACCAAAAACAAAGCCCTTTTGAAAATGGCTAAAGACGTGGCCAAAAGCTCTTCGGACAATGAAAATTATGGAAAATTTCTGTAGTACCTTATTCCTACAAAATGGAAAATGTAAGGATGTTAATTAAATCTTCCCTGTCTGCTATATTTAATGAAAGATGTATAAAAGAACGGTTGCTACCCAAATATACATTAATATATATATATATATATATATATATATATATAGTATACAATATTTTGTGTCAATTTTTTGCAAATGTCATACAAACCTGACACCAATCTGGCCCATTGATTGTTTATCTCGCAGTCTACGTGACCAATTAATATTGCCTTCAATCCTAGAAAGAACTGTTTTTTCCATAGTGATCTTATCAAAAACAATTTTTAACTCATGCGCGTAGAATTTTATTTTCAAGTTTAATTAGTGTCTATGCGGCAATAGCAAAACGACTAAGATCTCTTTTAAGTCACGTACTAATGAAGTGACACTTGTTAGATAAGCCATATCGCTGAGTGGACGTGGACGTATTGATTAAATAAGTTGTTTCCAAAGAGTTAAAAGTAATTAAAAAAAATAACATAGACTTATATCTATAAGTCATTATTTTCTTCTTTTTTTTTCTTTCTCTCACTGTCCTTGTTTGTCTGACGCTGTTAATTCTTATCTGATTTAAGCTTTTTGTGTTAACTATTGACGAAATCATCTATTATACGTTTAGTTAACTAAGCTTTACCCATGCTGTGCTGGCAAATTGAGTTGGTACATATTTCCTTAAATTACATTTGAAAGCACAATCAAGATGACTCTAGGTTATTGTAAATACGTGTTTCTTTTTTATTCGTCATACACATTTTTATTCAATCTTAGATTTTCTATTTGTTATTTCCTCTTTTTCTTTCCTTTTCTCTACTCTCTTTTACTTTTCTTTCTTTTTCCTTCTCTTTCGTTTCCTTTTGTTCTGTTCATTCTTCTCTTTTCTCTTTTCCTCTTTTCTTTCTCCCTTCTTTCTTAGATTCTCTCAATTTTTTTTCAGGCTTACTTGCTATTTTCCGCTCTCTTCCCAATTTCTCTTTCTTCCCTCCCCTCACTAAATTCTATCCCTTCCTTTGTTGACTCTCTTTTCTTTGAAATAAGGACTTATTTCAATGAAGAGTCCTCCCGAAATTTCTAGTTTAGACTTCAAATAAGAACTGCAAAATTGGCGGAACACAATCTTCTTTAATTTCCCCATCTGCCCCTGTGTAAATCTATGCTTATGTGTATATAGCTCTTTTATCCATCTCTCTCTCTCTCTCTCTCTGTGCATTGCTCTCTTTCTCCCCCTCTCCCTCTCTCTCTCTGTGCATTGCTCTCTCTCCCTCTCCCTCTCTCTCTGTGCATTGCTCTCTCTCTCACCCTCTCCCTCTCTCTCTCTCTGTGCATTGCTCTCTCTCCCCCTCCCCCTCTCTCTGCGCATTGCTCTCCCCCTCTCTCTCTCTGTGCATTGCTCTCTCCCTATCTCCCCCTCCTCTCTCTGTATATTTGTCTGTCTTTTTCTCTATAAATTTCTCTCTCTCGCTATGTGAGATTTTCTTTCTCTCTTTGTGTTTTTTCTTTCTTTCTCTCTATATATTAGTCTCTCTTACACTTTTTCCTCTCACATGCTCTTCTCTTCCTCTCTCTCTCCCTGAAGATAATCTCTTTTTCTCGCTGTGCATATTTTCTCTCCGAGTATTTCTATCTTTCTTTCTCTTTCTATGTGAACATTCTTTCTGTGTATTTATCTTTCTTTTTCTATGTAATTTTTCTTTCTTTATTTTTTCTTTCTTTCTTTCTTTCTTTCTTTCTTTCTTTCTTTCTTTCTTTCTTTCTGTGCATTTTCTCTCTCGTTCTCTCTTTCCCTCTCTTGCAATTTATACCTACGAAAACCAGAAAACACGGCGATCGAGATATTACAATGAAAACAACAAAGATGAAGATACTAGTCCAAAGAATTACTCATTGTGTGTAATTTCTGAAAAAATGCCTATACTGATTTATAGTATAGGCATTTTCTTCAGAAATTACACACACACACACACACACACACACACACACACACACACATATATATATATATATATATATATATATATATATATATATATATATATATGTTTATAATAGCTGGCCACTCGTCTCGCAGGATACCTGTCTACTTGGGTACTCAGGTGCATTGGTGATTGTTCAACACGCACAAAGTTTCTACTGCAACTATGCTGAGCAGACCTTAGTTACAGTTTCTGGAAGAAAGCGTGTTATCATTAAACTTTACTCGTAGAGTCTGTAGCCCAGCATATCATACCATTTTGGAATCAGACCGACTCCGTGAGCACATTAAAAATATTCCGGGCTGCATTCGCAGCCGCAATCCTGAAATTTGGGGTTCCTAAGTTTGATTGATTTCGACATTTTTTACGTGATTTTTTTGCGACAAATTTTGTTGTATGATAACAAGTTTTATAACTTGGGAATAATCGAAATTAATCGCGAAATCCAGCGAAAGTCATCCATAAAATAAAGATAATTTTTTGTACGGAAAGTAAGGACCTACGTACATCAAATTTTCTTTACATTCATTAGCGGTAGAAAAATTATCGTTGAACTTTTAAAAGGTAAGCTGAGATATTAATGCAATGCTTAAATTCAGTTCTTCTGTACTTTATTGTTGCCTATCGCATCTAAACCTCTCTACCTATTGTGATGAAGGCCTAATCAAGAGTCCTTCGCAGAAGTTAGCTTAAATGCCGCAGCTTTTAAGCTAGTATATATATATATATATATATATATATATATATATATATATATATATATATATTTCTCTCAGGCTTTCATGTAAATTTACAGGAATTCCTTTGACGGAATCTCCCAAGGGAAAGGTGATAAAAGATTGTGAGTGGGGTATTTTGTATAGTCTTGGACGAAATTTGCTTAATTTCGACTTCATCTGAACGTTTAGTCCCGCGCTTTGCCACCTGAACTTCTCCTGCAATTGCTGACGTTTGCCGTTAAGATAAAACATTTTCCATCATTCAAAGTTACAGTTATAAATAATCATGACATATAATCTTGAATATTGACAACAAAGAATTCATTTATCTCAGGAGCTATTTTGGGAGCTGACAGTTTACTAGCTGTTTTTTTTGTTTTTTTTTTCGGTTAGGCGAACATTTGAATTTTCTAACATTCATAATGAATAGGGAAGATGGTTTTTCAGAGTCAAGTGAACAAAATAGTGATTATATTTTTTTTTTTATGGTTGTAGCAATGGGAGTTTCTCTGTCATTAGCTAAATACCTTTTGAAGTATTTATAAATATTAACTTATAAGAAATGGCGCTAACATATCGCATATTGACACGAATGGTTGAACCAAGTCCAATGTCACTCTCGTCTGTTGCATTCACTTTCTCACAAATACTTTTTGGAAAGCCAAGAATCGGTATATTGGCTTCTCCCACCGTGGGTGGCAACCAGTCTAAAGGACAAAAAATTGAATTCCACACCGAGGAGATGACAGCAGGAAACCACTCAATGACGTTTCCCAAAAGGTTATGGCGATTCACAGAAATCTGTGCAGAGCCACCATTAGAGTCGATATATTGTTGTCAACGACGTGTAGTGAATTTATTCCATTACAATAACAACTGGGGATACAGCGGTCGACAAAAAGCTTGATATTAAGAGTATTAGATAGATAGATAGATTTCATGGTTGATTTGTTTTTTACGGTTTATCAACCGTTTGCAGATTATGTAAAATCAGAAAATTACTTACTGATACAAGTCCTACTAATTATCTGAATGCTTGGGGCAGAACAGATGGATTCATACCATTCCCAAGGTTATTTGTGCGTATGTGGATATTTCGAAACCAACAGGAATTGGAACTCGGCTCTCCGATTTCAAATTCCGAGCCGTTATCCATTGCACCACCCGCACATCCAAGCTTACAGCAACTGGTATTCCCAAGCAGTAACACATGTAGGTACTGGCCAGGCCCAACGTTGCTTAACTTCAGTGATCGAACGAGAACCGGCGATTAGATAGATAGATAGATAGATAGATAGATAGATAGATAGATACGTAAAGGTTGAAAACGAATGTATGTCTCCTTCGGTCCTATCCATCTCTTCAAACGGATATCATTAATAAAGAACCCATAGAGTAAAGTTTCTCACTGCATTCTGCATTTTGTTTTCAAAAACGTTTGCTTCTTCTTGAATTTAATTTTTCTTTTAGTCATTTGAGTTTTCTCTTCACTTTTTCTGCTTAAAACTTCATTGTTTTGAGAGAGACATTTTTTCTTTTTGTATTGGACAAAAACGTTTCCGGAAGTTTTACTTTTCCCTGTTGACCTAAAATCTTTTTTGTTTTCCTAAAACACAGATTATGCATTTCTGTCTTGCATTGTATTTGCTTGTCTCATTGTATTTTTCATATTGGTGGAGTTGTCTGTTTGTTCACCGAATTTTGTCGCTCAATTGATCTTGCTTTTATAGATTCTATCACTTTTGGGGTTTATTATTTTTAGTAATACTACTAATAATACTACCATTAATAGTAGCGGCACTAGTAATAGTAATTATATAATAGTAGTAGTAGCAATATTATTAGTAGTATTAGTAGTACTAATATCAATATCATTACTAGTAGTAGTAGCAGTAGCAATATTATTATTAGTAGTAGTAGTATCATTATTATTATTATTATTAGTAGTAGTAGTAATATCATTATTATTAGTAGTAATATTAGTAGCAATATTATTAGTAGTAATAGTAGTAGTAGCGATATCATTATTATTAGTAATAGTAGTAGCAATATTATTATTATTAGTAGCAATATTATTATTCTTTGTAGTATTTGTAACAGTATCATTATTATTAGTAGCAGTAATAGTAGCAATTTATTTGTAATAATAGTAGCATTATTATTATGATTAATAGCAGAAGTAGCAATAATAATATTAGTAGTAGTAGTAGCAATATCATTATTATTTGTAGTAGTAGCAACAATATTATTATTATTAGTAGTAGTAGTAGCAATATCATTAGTATGAGTAGTAGTAGTAATATTATTATTATTTGTAGTAGTTGTAGCGATATCGTTATTAGTAGTTGTAGCAACATTATTATTGTTTGTAGTAGAAGGAATATCATTATTATTAGTAGTAGTAGTAGAAGCAATATTATTATTACTAGTAACAGAAGTAGAAATATCATTATTATTATGGGTGGTAGTAGTAGTTGCGATAATGTTATTATTTTAGCAGTAGTAGTAGTAGCAATATTATTAGTAGTAGTAGCAGCAATATTATTATTAGTAGTAGTAGCAAGATTATTGTTATTAATAGTACCGATATTATTATTAGTAACAGAGGTAGCGATATTATCAATATTAGTAGTAGTACCGATATTAATAGTAATAGTAGTACTGATATTATTATTATTAGTAATAGTAGTACTGATATTATTAGTAGTAGTAATAGTAGTATCAATGCAAAGTAGAATCGGCGAATCGAGTTCAAATTCCGGAAGAGCGTGCTGCGTTCCCTTTCGCAAAAATTCCCTTGGCCAAAGACTTGAATCCGTCTCTTCTATTCGCCCGGCTATGAGTTAAATAGAAAGGTAGACTAGGTTCTCTAGCCTTGAATGCCAACCAGTTTAGGAAAAGAAAAACTCCGAAGTCCAAACACTGAAAAAAGTTAGGAGAACTACTCCACTATGTTACTACGAATTGACAGATAATAAAAAACAAATATAGATGTAGAAATGCAGGACGTATGTGGTCATGGCTTTATAATAGATAAGCTATAAGTATCATTTTGGGGTAGGATGATAAAATAAGGTAGATATAGAATTAAAGAATACAAGAAGAAGAAGAAGAAGAAGAAGAAGAAGAAGAAGAAATAATAATAATAATAATAATAATAATAATAATAATAATAATAATAATAATAATAATAATAATCTTGGAGTGTATGCCGTTATTTCAACAAACACCGGAATAAAAATGAATAAAATGTGGCGAGCTGATAAAATATCTGAACCTTAGGAGAGAAGTAAAAGATATTGAAATATAAAAGTGACATTCTATTATTATTGGCCGATTGAAATAATCTCGTAGAGTCTTGATAAATTTGAAAAACTTGTGGAAGAATCCAAATCGTCCAGATGGCGACATTATTAAAATAAACTCGAATATTGAAGAGACCTTCTGTCGCTTGATTTCCATTAAAAGTCACCATATTGTGAAACCCCACTCAATTTGGACGAAATATAATAACGTTAAAATATTCCCAACAGAAGAATGAATAAAAAACCTTTACAGCTGTGAGACATGACATGATACATTCACAGAATTGAATCTCATTTTCTCCAAATGTGTTAGTTCCACTTAGCCTTTTCCTAAGAACTACTACTTTGCTATCCTGCTTATCATCATCATCATCATCATCATCATCATCATCATCATCATCATCTTTCCTACTATCTTTTCATTCCTTTCAGACATCTCATTCATCATAACCATTTTGGCAAGAATCTTCCTAGCGTAGCACTCGAGCATTGTATTGGGCGAATTTTATTATAAAAAATAAATGATAAAATAAAAATAACTAATGGTCATGATAAAGATGTGTGTTGATGTTTTCAGGTCATCATTATTATTATTATTATTATTATTATTAGTAGTAGTAGTAGTAGTAGTAGTAGTAGTGTTGCATTACTAATTATTTGTTTTATTTTCATTCCCTTTTTAAAAAATATTGCCTTGTAATTTTTGCGTTTGTTAAATTATTTTTCAACAGATCATGAAATATGTTTTTGACTTTTTATGACAAGTGATAAAGGTTTTTCAGCAATCTGGTAAATAAACATTTAAAGCTGTAAATGTCATAAAATGGGTAAAACATTACATTCGCGATTTGTGTAAAAATAAATGGCACACAGAATTGCAGTGAATTGTTGGGTGATATTTCTCAACGACTTGGATTTGTGGCGTTACGTTGCAAATTATCTAACTACTCGGTCGCCCAACTATGTATACATATCATACAAACAATGATATAGTTATCAACAATTTTAAAACGTATTAGATAAACAAAACTCCATACTAGTAATCAATATCTGATGAACAAATAAAATGTGTACATCATTTTGTTAATATTTCAATGAATATTTTAGCATCGTCAAGGCAGGAAGATTAGGAGTGACTCTCGTTGCTTCGGTAAAACGAATTCCTCCTTTCAAATAATAAATAACTCAATGGAATCAAAGAGAAAAAAGAATACGGAAAATACTGAAATACATTTAAAAGTATTAAAAATTGAAATGAACATAAGATAACAGCAGATTAGGGAATGAGCTTTGAAAATCATAAATCTTTAAAAACATGCTTTGATATCTGCTCTGAATCAAAGAGTCAAAAAATGAAATTTTCAGATAATTGTGAAGCACATTTTATTTGATACCATTTGTTTAGTTCTTGATTAAGAGTTGTAAAAATATAAAATCCAGACGTGATATTTATCAATCGCTTTAGAGATTTGATTCTGTCGTCTCTTTTGTATGAATACAGCTTTGTTGTTTTGTAAAAACAGAAAAAATGAAGACAATATCGATTTATTTTAATGGGAGTTATTGAATTTATTAAGAATGCGGCAACGTGGGTAGATTGTGGCCGTTATGTTTGAGGCTTGGACGAAAGTAACAAGTGTAGGCAAATATGTTAACATTTCACTTGCTTGATAGAATTGTTTCTAATAATTCTCTCAATATCTTTCCTGTCTATTTCTCTATTATCATGTACCGATGACCAACAAAATTTAACTATTTACTAAGAGGGCCAAAGAAAAATCAAAAACCTTGCGTGATTTTCGAGGAGGTTTGATTTAAATCGTTAAACTAGATCCTTACTTTATATCCCTTAGATTAGCTAGAAACAGGAATATTTCGTTAGAAACAAAAAAAGGTACTGAGCTATTATGTAATATCAGTCGACCTACATACCAGTGACATTCTCCTCACAAAAAGAGACACGAGGCAATAGAAATTTGTTTTTACAGGGAGATAGTAAGAATACCATGGACTGAACATGTGAATAATGTGAACGTTTTAAGTAAAATGGAAGCGAAAATGATGTTTTTATGCTTAAAATCATAAAGAACTTTCTAGAGTATATGAGAAAAGAGGGCTTGGAGAATTTGACATTCATATATATTGAGAGCTACAAAGGAAAATAGCGAGTAACCTACCTAACGAGCTTGTGTAAATGGTTGACAGTAAGATAGGAGATGTAACGAAAAGACACCTTGCTAAGAGCTACAAAGGACAGGAAGTTGTAGAGAGCCATGATCAGCCACGTTCTGAAGAGATATAGCTCATAGAAGAAGTAGCCTCATCGCACCTAGATATTAAATTAAATATGATCAGATGCTAATGATTTTCAAATAAATTATCATACAAAAAATGAATATTTGACATTCATTATTTTTTATTGGGACAAAGGCTTGTGGAATGACGCAGTTTGTCTACCAGTGAACTACTGTTAACGATTGCTAGCTATTGTTGTATAAAGCAATATATAAAGTAAAATATTTTTATATCCTTCCTATTTAGGTTTTCTAATGTAATAAAATGTTGCAAGGCAATAAAGGCACTAAGACGCAAGGAGTTACTGAGTATGAGAGATGAGAGGAAAAAAACATTAACGGAGGAGAACAAATAAAAGGACAGTGACTAAGAAAACAAAAGATAACAACTGACATTGTATTTACATTTTTTGAAGATCAAAGTTGACAGGAAAACAAGAAACTGAATTAGAGTTCCACAAGTGGGATGGACAAGAGAAAAAAAAAAACCCAGAAATTGTGGTTACATATAGCCATTTTAACTGTAAAATTACGAGACTCTGTCGCTAGTCTAATTCAGATACCAAAGAAGAAAACTCATCAGAACAATTGCCATGAAATTATTTATTAAAAAAAAAGCTATAGGGAAACTATGTTACGTAACTGAAGCCGAGATGCCAGGTCAGGACCAATG